GGGCTCCCTGTCCCCCCAGAGGGCTCCCTGTCCCCCCAAGGGCTCCATGTCCCCCCCGAGGGCTCCCTGTCCTCCCAGAGGGCTCCCTGTCCCCCCAAGGGCTCCCTGTCCCCCCAGGGGCTCCCTGTCCCCCCAAGGGCTCCATGTCCCCCCCAAGGGCTCCCTGTCCCCCCAGGGGCTCCCTGTCCCCCCCGAGGGGCTGGCTCTGGACGTGCCGTACCTGCACCGCCCGGTCGTACTCCTCCAGTGCCACCGCCAGCTCCTGCGCCCGCCGCCCCGCCTGCGGAACGGGCCCAGCGTGAGGGGCTGCGGGGGGGCCCGGGGGCGGCTCTGGGGGTCGCAGCCGAGGCGGTGGCAGCGTCCCTGGGCAGCGCTCACCTGGGCGAGGGCGGCGTCCCGGGCGGAGAGGAGCGCGGTGCCACGGCAGAGCTGGGCCTGGGCGGAGGGGAGGGGACAGGGACCCGCCTCGTTGGCACGTAACACGGTCCCCGGCACCGGCAGGGAGGCAGGGCCGCTGTGGCCACCGCCAGCACTTACCTCCAGGTCTGCCACGCGGGCCGTCTGCGCCTGGATCTGCTCCCGCAGCCCCTGGCCCTCGGCGAGCAGCCGCTGGTTCTGCTCGCGGCAAAAACGGGCTGGGGTTCTCCGCGGCACCATCCCAGATCCATCCCGGATCCATCCCAGATCCCGGATGCTGCCAGGGCAGCCCCTCGGCCCCGGCCTCACCTCCTCCTGGAGCCCCTCGGCCCGCAAGCACAGGCTCCGCTGCTCCTTCTCCTGGGAATGATGGGTGCGGGGCCGTGAGCCGGGGGGGTCGCGGGTCAGGGTGTGGCGGCCCCGCGCCTCGGCCGCGCCGCTCACCATGTGCCGCGCCTGCCGCCGGAGCTCGCCGTTCTCCTCCTCCAGCCCCTTCGCCACGGCCTTCAGGTCCTCCAGCTCCTCGGCGGCCGCCCTGGCCTGCTCCAGCGCCTGCCGGCTGCTGCCGGGGGGCAAAGGGGCACAGAGGTGCTTCGGCGTCCCCGGAGCGCCCCGGCCAGAAGCCACCGCCCGGCGCCGGCTCCGCACCTCCGCAGCTGAGCCTGGAGCTGAGCCGTCTCCTCGGCCAGGCGGGCGTTCAGCTCCTCGGCCAGCTCGGCGTCCCGCTGCAGCTTCGTGTTGTGGGCGGCCAGCTGCCTGGCACGGCTGCGCAGCCCGGCGGCTTCGGCGCTGCCGGGGAGTCCCACCGGTCCGGGGGTGCTCCGAGGCTGGGGGCGAGCCCAGCCCCAGAGCACGGCCGGGGCCGGGACGTCCCCGAGGCCGACACTTACGGGCTGGTGACGTCCGTGTCGCCGCTGCCACCCTGGAGCTGGGCGGCTGCCAGGGCCGTGCGCCTGTCCTCTGCGGGGCAGGGACACGGGGGATCGCGCTGGTGCCCCCACTGTGGCCCCCCACCCTGATTTCCCCTTCCCACACTGACACCCACCAGCCAGTGCCGGTCTGGGCTCGCTGCTCTCTGTGTCCTCCTGCTCCTCGCCAAGCCACGCGCTCCTGCGGGGACACCGAGCCATCCGTGGGCACGTGGGGGGACCGGCACTGACCTGTCCTGCTGGCCCCGGCACTGACCCATCCTCCCACACTGACCTGGCCCCTGGCACTGCCCCGTGCCCTGGCACTGCCCCCATGACTGACCCATCCCGCTGGCCCTGGCACTGACCTGTCCTCCCACACTGACCTGGCCCCTGGCACTGCCCCGTGCCCTGGCACTGCCCCCATGACTGACCCATCCCGCTGGCCCTGGCACTGACCTGTCCTCCC